GAGGAAGGAAGGAAGGAAGGAAGGAAGGAAGGAAGGAAGGGAGAAAGAAAGAAAGAAAATTGAATTTGGGATGTTTATTACCTGCCCCTCTTCTGTATTTCAGGCTCAAGTGATGACCACTGAGAAGCTGTCCAAAATCACTTTTTAAAATATTGTTCTGAGCAGTTCTAATTGATGGAGTTTTGTGAGCAGGCTTTATTTCTGCACCCAGTTATAGGTAACTGATTTCTGCTCTGCATTCTCTCGACTGCTGTCTTTCAGAATTGTTACCGGTTCAGTTGTCCTGGCTCATATCAACATCTCCTGGATGTGATGGTCTAGCTCACTGAGATGATTTGTCTTGATTCATCTCAAATGACTAAATGATACCGTGTTCTAAGGGGGAAATACAGTAACTCTGCCAGTAGGTAGATGGGGTAGCTGGTCAGTTGGTTTCTTCATTTTCTGAATGGGTAAAAATATAAAAACAATGTTTAGCTGTAGTCCCAAGCTTGGAAAACACGTTTGACTGGCAGGTAGCAATATGCATTCCAAGTAAACACAGATCAATTGAGCTAAAACACGAAGAAACAGCACTGACTGCAACACCTACATTCTCTAGAGTTTTGTGCATAATCCTTAAAGAAACTGCTCAAAACAAAACAAAACAAAACAAAACCCCAAAGTGGGTCTATTTTGGCCCTTCTATGTGTTAGATCTCAAATGTTAATCCTGGAGTTTAATGTCTCAGCAAGCAATCATTTCTGCTGTTTTCCTGAAGGTGGACTCCTAGTATAATAAAAAGATTTCTGATAATTAAAAGCAACAGTGGGATGCCCAAGTCTGAATTCTACTTTTGCTGTGTGCCGGTTGAATAACCGAGCAGCAAGTGACTGGAAACTTGGAATTATGAATAAAATGGAGATGATGACTTAATAATTAAGGTGGTAATAACACCTGCCCTTCTGATCTCTTAACAGTTGTTGGGAGGATCAAAGAAAATGATACAAATGAATATGCTCTGAACACAGAGCATCATTACACAGACACATTATTAAAAGGGCCATTTTATTTTTACATGGTTCCATCACTGAAGGAGGTTTTGATTATCTTTGGTAGAATCTCGACTGGTCTCGGTCGAATCATTGACATCTTCTTTTTGAAGGCTTATACCTTTCGTGCACTTTGAGGATGGTCTTAATTCACTTTTGCCGTTTGTTGTGTCTGGACTGGCGTGTGGCCGCAGTGAGTGTTTCAGTAGTCCACGGCATCGCCTTCCTGAGCAGGATGGAATCTTTTCCAGGTCTTGTGCCAGGCCTTTAGCTGTCTCAGGATGTGCGGCGGATCTCCTGAACAGCATTCGTTTTGAGCATGGTTCCACAGGAAGGTTTAAGAAGCTGGGTTTGATAACAGGCCTGGGCACCACCCCCAAGTGCCTGGAGTAGCTGTGATGCCCTGACCACAGGAATGCCGTCACCAGCCTGTGTCGGGGAAGGGTGTTTTGGAGGAGGCAACGTATGCCCACCCAGAGTCCAGGCTCCGGAATCAGACAGATGTGTTTTATTTAACCTCCCTTAATACTTCCAAGTGACTTGAGCTCCCTAAGCCTGTCTTCTGTCTACAACGAGAGACGAGTAGAACTCCACCCGGGTTGTCACAACTGGCAACTGAAACAGCTGCTTTTGAAAAGTGGGATCTGACATGCTGGAATCTACCGTGTTTACGAATCCACCTTGACACGGGGATGAAAGCAGATACAGATGAGGGGAAGAGAGCCGGATGACCATGGTGCAACTGTTAGAATCATATCCCGCCTCAGAGGCCTGTTCATGGGTCGTGGACCTGAGCCACTCTCTTGGTCCTGGGTCACCTAACGGTTCTTTTAGCAGTAATTGTGCTAGTGTATCTGTAAAGAGATTCTGAGTTCTGTGACCTTTTCTTTACAGGATCCAAGCATAGTTGCTGCTTTTTCCCCTCTTGTGGTGCTAGAGACGGAACCCAGGGCCTCTCACCTGCCAGGCAAGCCCTCTGCCACGGAGTTACGTCTCTAGTGGTTTCTTCTTTCTTTCTCTCTTGGGACAGGGTCTTGGGAGATTGTACAGGCCTGTCTTGAACGCAGATCTTCTTTCCTCAGCCTCTCAAGTAGCTGGGATGACAGGCGTGTGCCACCCCGTCTGGCCAGTCACTGCATTTTCAAGTGAAAATTTCAGACTACATAATCTGTGTTTTGTTGAGGGAGAGACCACCTGCGGAGGACTACCCCCACCCCCTTTTGCTTGCTTCGGTGAAGACTTTTCTTGAAAGTCTCAAGAGCCTAGACTGGCTCACGAAACAACCCACGAACTGAAGCATTTGCTTCAGAAATAGGACGAAAACTGGCCTACTTCTGTTTTCTGGCTATTTGCATCTAAGTGGCTCCCCAAACCCATTCCCAGTTTTTTTTCAACTTTCTCTTTTTTCAGACAGGGCCTCACTATGTTGCCCAGGTTGACCTCAAATTCCTGGGTGTCCCCCGTAGCTGGGACGGCAGGTGCACCCCCCCTTCCTGGTTCTTTTTCCTTTCAAACAATACTTTCAGGCCCCTTCCCATCTGAAATGCCTCACTTAAGCTGTCGTCTTGCTCAAGACAAGATGGACACTGCTTCAAGTCTGGTCATTTCCCAGGACTCTGAGATATTTACTGAGTCTGCCTCGCCTGGCCATCCTCAAGTCATAGGCCTGCACGTGTGTGTGTGTGTGTGTGTGTGTGTGTGTGTGTGTGTGTAAGGTGGGAGTTTCCTTGTGTAGTAAAGCAGGGATTGTGGCTTGCTGAGGACCTCCTCTGAAATGTCTACTGGGTCACAGACGGTGGCAGCAACATTTTTACCCCTCTTTGGCAGAGGACATCGATGGAGAAATTCTGGCCTGGAAAGTTGCTCTTGGGTGCAATTGTTGGTGATGAAACCCTGAAACCTTGGAGAGGGCAGCAGAGGCCGCTGCCCTGGGGAGGAAGTTGGGGCCAGTGCTTGACAGCCTTTCAGGTCAATCTGAAGCTGGGCCACTTTCAGAAGGTCTGCCCCAAGTCCCCGCCCGCCTGCAGGGGAACCCAGGGGCCACAGGCGCTGGGTTTGGGCTTCCTACCTACCTGCCCAGAGTGCCGCTTCCAGAGGCTTCACCACCTCACATCCGGAACTCCTGGAAAGGGTCAGCGGGATTTTTCTGGATATTTCTTTTAGACACGGGATCTGCCTGCGTTGCCCAGGCTGGTCACTCCTGTGCTCTGGCGATTTTCCTGCCTCCCTCTCGGTAGTAGGGACTCCAGGCTGCACCACCAGGCCCAGTTTAAGATTTTTATATCTCTCAAAATCTATCAAGAAGTGGGAAAACTTCCCCAAGCGACACACGGGTGTAGGGGCCTGGGACCATGTGAAGGGGCAAGGGACCCTTATTTAGGGCTGTTCCTTTCAAACACACCATGACCACGCGCATCTTGGAACAGCAAGCGCGCTCCTGACCCGGGTAAAGTATCCTCCACCCAAAACGACGCAGCCATCCGGAGTGAGCGGTCCTCGGTGTGAGCGTGAGTGGCCCGCGCCTGCGGGGATCGGGGGTCCGAACAGCGGCCGGACCCAGCGAGGCCTGGGATCGGGGGTCTCCGCGGCTGGAAAGGAAAGCGCAGGAAGCCCGGGCGGCC